GTATATTCTAGACTGGGTTGAACGTTTAGAGTTCACTTCTTCAAATTTGGAATGTAACGTTATTTCGTTCATTTCCAAACTGATTATTTTGAATAAAATAATTTTTTGTACTCATTGTTCAGTACTACAAAGTCCCTAAAAGGAATCTTTGTTGCCACGAAACTTTTATTGTTTCTGGAAAGAAAATGTTTTTCACCAGTTTTCTATAAAATTTTGATGAAATTCTTCAATAGATGTTTCATTATGGAACCCATTGCAGACTGAAATGTTTTAATTTTTCTATTCAAGAATATATATAAAATATTCCACCATGACTTCTTATAAAATAGATGCTATGATTAAGTTATAAACAACACAAAGATATCAAGGTTTCATAAATAAATTGACACTTACTTGATTCCAGGTATGTCCAGAATTCCAGCAATCCCATCCAGATCGAATTCAATTTCCGGATTATTGAGAAAGAAGACTTGCACTCCTCCGATAAGAGGAAAATGTCGGATTAAGGGTTTGAGAACTATACGTAATTTTCCATACAACTTTAAACAGAATATACTGAGTAAAATAAAATGTTAACAGAATAAGTATATTTTTCGTTAAGAATAATCACCTGGAAATTTTTTATTCCTCCAAGTAGTCCTCTCAAACGAAATTTAATATCACAATCACCAGCATACCTGAAATGATACAAATGATACAAGGAATGATAATTACTGCATATACATATAGTGTGTAATGGAATAAATGGAATAAATTCATCATTTCGGTGACTAAACATATTTAAAAAAATCCCGAAACAAGTCAAATGTAAATTACGATTTGACATTCTTCAAGGTAAAAATGCTACCCCTACCTTCAGCCCCCTTTGAATGACAGGTACAACCCCCAATCTTTTGACATTCTCTATTCGAAAATTTTATCGCTTTCAAGTTTATTGCAATAATTAAGATAAAATCATCCACAAATATGTCTGTTCAAAATCCATCGGACCCAATTTTTCAAAATACATTACATCTTTCTTCGGTATGTTTTGATTTGAAAAATTATACAAAGGAATATCTAAAATATGATGAATACTTTTATGACTTTGTGAATGGAGATTATATGGACATGAAAGATTTCTTGGCAAGTATCAATTGGGATATCAAAATACTGAATGATGAGGATTCAAATTTTGTAGTTACAAATTTTTGCAATATTCTCTATACAGCTCTGGAGTACTATGTTTCACTAAAAAAATAAGAAGCTTCTACTTTCCCAATATGGTTCAATTCTGAGCTGAAACAATTAGTGTTCAAGCAGAAATCGCTTCACGGAGAATACAAAAATGGAAATTTTTATAAATATAAAGAATTTTTTAGAGATAAGTGCAAAGCTTCGAGAAACACTCATACATACTCATACAAGCATACATACAAAAAATAGAGAATAACATCAACAATAATGATAGAAGCTTCTGGAATTATATTAATGATAAAAAAATCATACTCCTTTTCATCTAAAATGTATTATGATGGCTCTGTCAGCGAAAACAGTAATGATATTGTAAATCTCTTTGCAGAATATTTCTCATCAGTTTACAGTGATGAAACAGTTAACCAAATTCCAGAGTATTAATTTAGTAAGACGTTTGATATATGTATAGTCCGTTCATAATTTGTTGATAGCTCACTGCAAGTTTGACCCTCATTAGAGAACTGAAATACAGAGAGGACAGCTAATATGATATAATAACAAAAACCAAACTAAAACTGGCAGTTTAAGATGTTTTCGACTAACCCACCTTGTATCTGAAGAAATACAATACAGCTATAAAACTTTTAATCCGATTATGTAGGTATTTTGAGTGG